GTGGGCACATGATGATTTTCCATGATGTGCTATTTCCCCTGTATTTATTGATAACAAAGGCTCCTGCTTGTTATTCTGGGCTCTCATCTATCTCTGTATGGTGGCCCCACTGACTGCTGGTAATGTCTGATGAATGTGATTGCAAGTGTCAGGATTAAGTCAAACCAATGTTGTATTGTAGCCAGAGTTGTGTTAGATCATGAGTACCCTTGAGACTTCAGTCACTTTCATGTGCTGCTCTGGATTTCATGTTACTCCTGTTTGTCCATCACACAAGATGCGCTCCTGCCGTACTCATGTGAGCCTATCTGTAACTGAAACCTACTCCTTCCAAAGGAGAAAGAGAAGCAGTTTTAAGCTACTGCTTCCAAGGGGAAAGAGAAGCAGAATTTACCTAACAGGCAAGCTCTTAACAAAACCTCGGATATCTGATACACATAATGGTCCCGGAGGCATGTTTACTTTGGACTGAGTGAGTGAGTGAAAACCATTTTGGAAGGACTTTTTCACCTCTAGGGACTTAACCTAATGAGGAGAAAAGTGATGTGGTTAAAGGGCTATTTAAACAGCATTAGTGAGCAGATTTGGGTTCTCTGGCAATACAAATATATATTTGCCTTAACCAGGTGCATAAATATGCATTGATTTGGATCACAGGACACATTGCATAGGTGGTGATGAGATTTCAGCCATCCTCTGCTGATGGATACTTTCTGGGCAAACAGATGATTGTTTTAGCAGGTTATAGCAGAACTGCCCAAAGATTTGGGACACCACCATTGAGTTCACCTACTGCTCTTGTCTTCTGTGGGGAAGAATGGCTATGCAACACGCTTGAGGGCTTAGCTCTGTAAGTGATTTAGATGGCTGGATGAGAGCTACAGGTGCCTCAGGTTTAGGCTGAAGGATGCTGCTTGTTTCTGATCACAAGATGCCATAAATGCCCCAGTTTATCAGAAAAGCTGGAGATAAGCATGGAATAAATAACTCCATGGGAAACCTTCCCATGCTGGACTGCTGCACTGCCACCAAAGTTCATGTTTTTAGACCCAAATGGATGACTGACCTCACACTGACAGGATGGGCTGTCAACACTCGTCCCTTGAAGAAGAGTCTCCCCTTTGCACTTTGTCTCCTCGTGGTGATAGCCTCAGTGGAGATTCACAGATTACACCCTGCCCCTTTCATGCGATGAGGGTCCTGCTTACCCATGACTTCCCTCTTTCAACATCCTCACAGGGGCAATGAATCTTATTCCTAGCCCAAAGAGCACTTGTCAGAGCTGGGTTGACAGGAAGGTATATCCTGCTTGGCCATGTTTTCTTGTGTTGAATTAATAGCTGGGATGGTTCACCTGAACCCTGCTGGACCGAGGGCAGCACCTTGCACAAGAGCAATACAGGCTTAGGTAGCACAGTTGCCATTTCACAAGTGGAAAAAGACAGCAAATATGGGAAATTAGGGCCAAATTGAAGTGATATTAATCTCTGTGTCACATCCTATATGCTTACTGAGGCTTATAAGATTGACTTTTCAGAGGTACATAGGTACCTATAAGCACAGGAAGGTGTCAGGAAGGAGCTGCACAGATCACGTACACAAATCTCATTGTTTTATATTGTAATTAAGGTCCTTCAATTTAATTTAAGCTCTTCCCATGTGGTTTTAAAGGACCTGAAGTCATCTATTGTGCATTTGGGCCCATTGGAAAATTCTTCCAAGGTGCTACTAAAACACATAATTGTCTGCCTTTGACAAACCTGGTTTCTTGTAATTTCCTTGTATTCATGCACATAGTGTGATGTGGAGATGACAAAGCACCAGCACCCTCTGAAAACCTCCCTGGATGTTTAGGGTGATCATTACCTTGAGAAACACAGGTACTTCCATTCAGGTCTGTGGTTTAGGTTCCTAACCCTGGGAATCTCTACAGTTGCCTCTCTGGAGTGTTGTGAGAATAAACCTATTATTTAGGAACAATTTTCTCCTGCAGGTGTTTATAGCACAGTTGGTCTTTAGAAAATAATAAATTTGGAGAGGGATTTTTAACAAGGGCCTGTAGGGACAGGACAAGGGGAATGGCTTTAAACTGACAGAGGGGCTTGGAGCAAGCTGCTCTAGTGGAAGGTGTCCCTGCCCCTGTCAGGGGTTGGAACTGGATGAGCTTTAAGGTCCCTTCCACCCCAAACCAGTCTGTGATTCTATGATTGCTTCAACATCCATGAGGCATTGACATGAGCATGTCCAGTAGCCCAGCAGGGTCTGAATGATCACACAGTGGTTAATGCTGTGGAGAAGTGGCAATTCCAGATGATGTGACTCCAACACAGTATTTCCATTCACTCCATTTGGATGTCTCCCTCCTGGTGCTTCTCATGTACAGCCCATGCTGAACACTGTGTGCGGGATTGCTAGGGGAGAAATATGATGTGCAGGAGCATCCTTCTGATGAGATTCCTTGTGCTGGGGAGCTGAACAGAAATCTAGGACCATTGCAGGGAGTTGGTATCACAGGAGACAGAGTAGCACTGCAGCCTGTAGGTATCATAGAATCCCACAATGGTCTGGTTTGGAAGGGACCTTAAAGATCATCTAATTCCAACCCCCTGCCACGGGCAGGGACACCTTCCACTAGATTAGGTTGCTCCAAGCCCTGGAGGTTTAAAAAGAGTCCATGTTCCTGGTTTTTATGTCTAAAACCACTTAAAAACAGGCATGTGGCTGCTTTAGTTTTTCTCCATATCCGAATTAGCAGCAAGGAGGCAAATGAGCTCTCTTGGATGTAGAAGATGAGAGCTGGGAGTTTAGTTCCTACCTGCTTCTAATTGGGATTATGCTGGCAACAATCAGCTTCCATCGTTTGATATTTGGGAAGAAGAAATGGGAAGCTGAACAGCAATAGTGGGCTGCTCCTGCATAAACTATCCTGGCAAAATGCCTTTTAATTTCATGAGAGCTGTGCCTGCGAGAAGGCGGAAGGATCAAACCAGCATCAAGGAAGACGAGGATTTGGAGCCAGGTTTTGGAAATTGTCTCTTATCTCGGTAGTGAATCAGACACCCCAGGTGAAATTTGGATCCTACTGAATAAGCATTTTGGGTTTTGAGTTTAGCAGGGCCAGGATTTCATCCCTAACTTCAAATATATCTAAACTCTGCTGTGCCTGCAGCTTGGAGCTAGTTACCAATGTTCCATCCTAACGTATCTCATTTATATTAATTAGTCTTGTAGGACCTGATTCTGCTCCCCTGTAAGTGATGGGGGTTTGGATGCTGAGTCAAGAGGATGGGACTGTTCCTCCTTTACTGCACTGCTTTACAGAATTACAGTGTTTTAAAAGTCAATCTTCTTAATTCATATTATTCCTGGTAATTCTGGAGTGCAGGCAGGGTTTCATTTACATCAGAAATAGGATCCATTTTCCTGGCCCTGCAAGGAAGACACTCTCAAGGGCTTACTGATATTTGTATGTTTGACTTTAAGGCAGAAGTTTGTTCCTAATTAATTGAATAAGTGCTTTAATCCCTGGCCTGAGGGCTTCCCATAGAGCATTAGCTGTATTAAGAAGGAAATGGAGTGTAATCCCTTTAATATAAGCACAGGAGTTTCACATTTCTGGAAATAATTTCTTTCCTTGTTGCATCATTTACACTGATGTTAATTTACATAAAATACAGCGGGGATAAAGGGATGCTGCTTCTGCGTGACTCCAGTGCTGAGCCTTCAGCAGCACACGACCCCTGCAGAGCCTTGGGGTCCAGTTCTACTCTGCTGTCTGAGTGTGCAAAGAGAAACAGCTCCAGCATTTCAGTGTGTGTGAATACAGGTCCATGACTGACTTCTCTGTGGAGGATCCTGGAGCTGAGATGTCGTCTTTCTGACTCGTGCACCGTCACCAGCTTTACGACTGTTTGCTTTGCTGTAGTGCCAGAGAATCTCGTTCCTGAACAGACAGCCAGGCTCATGGGTAGCTGTAGAAATTGGACTCTTGGATGAGATTCAACTGACCAAACCCAGGCTTTCTGAGAAAGCAGTTTTCAGGCTGAGAGAATTGGGGCTGTTTAACCTGGAGAAGGCTCTGGGGAGACCTTAGAGTAGCTCCCAGTGTCTGAAGGGGCCAACAAGAAACCTGGAGAGGGGCTTTAGACAAGGGCCTGTATGGACAGGCCAAGGGGGAATAACTTGAACCTGCCCGAGGGGAGACTGAGCTGAGCTCTTAGGCAGAAGCTCTTCCCTGTGAGGGTGCTGAGGCGCTGGCACAGGGTGCCCAGAGAAGCTGTGGCTGCCCCATCCCTGGCAGTGTTCAAGGCCAAGTTGGACACAGGGGCTTGGAGCAAGCTGCTCCAGTGGAAGGTGTCTCTGCCCATGGCAGGGGTTGGAACTGGGTGAGCTTTAAGCTCCCTTCTATCATAAACCGTTCTAGGATTTAATTCCCAAGTACATACCTACATTGTTCAGATGAATTGGGCTAAATGAGTCAGGATGCCAGGAAGGGTCAGCTCAGAATGAGACATCTCTGGGGACATGCTGAAATTAGATTACAAGAGATTACTCTTGTATGAGGTGCATCCAAACCTTGTTAATACTTGACTTTTATTTAAAGAGTAAATACTGCTTTGTGGATCTGGTCTGGTTCTTGTCCATCCATGGGACAGAAGACTACATCTGAGCATTCTCTGCTGCCTTGTGCTTCAGGTCATCAGAGGAAGAGAACTGCAGCATTTGGATGGCACAGTATTTGGATGGCACAGTTCAGGTGTACTCAGCCACCCTCCAAGACCAAGTGTAGATCCCTGACTGCCTTACTTCTGCAGCGCTTCCCACCCTCCCATGCAGTGAGGTAAGGAGACTGCTTTCTTCTAGTCAACACACCCACAAAATAGGTCCATTCCCCCCCCCAGTTTCCCCTTCTTTTACTCCCATCTTTACCTTTAGCAGGAGCTGGAGATGCTCCAAGAGCCCTAAAGGCTTTGTCCCACTCTTGTCCTGACTGCAGCTGAAGGAGTGGGTATCAGCTCCACCATTATGACCATGGGGTGGCTTCTCCTCCAAGAAGCTCTCACCCCACACTGTCAAAGCCCCCAGACTCCCACCAAGGCCTCAAGGGTTCTGGAGTGTGGGTGTCTCACAAAGGGGCAATGTTTTCCCTTGTCATTGGAATCACCATGGCAACGTGGGTGTTGGTGGATCCCATTGCACATGTACCCTATTGCAGGAGGCAACACCCATGTTCACCCCCTAAGGCTGCTGTTTGTGGGGTGCCATCATCTCTTCCCTGCTGGGTCCCATAAGGCTGACTCCCTGAGGTGTCCAGCTCTGTATGTTCTATGAGTTGGGCTGGATGCGTGCATTTTGCATTGATGAAGTTGGGTGAAGTCAGTCATACTCTAACTGCCAATTCGGGGTGCACAGGGGTCTCACAGCCCCAGAGGAACCCCCTTCCTATTGCCAGTTCCTGTCTCTAGGTCTCTAGATCCCTTGGGGCAGTGTGGAGGAGAGGATCTGGTTTGCTGGTTGTTAACTGAGTGGCTTTTCTGGTCTAGGTTCCTGGCTCACCATGGTGGACGCAATGGGGAAACCGAAGCACTCAAAGGTGAGGAATCTATGGGAATCACATCCTCACTGGTGTTTGAGTAATGGGTTTACAGGGTCTGCAAGGCTGGGAAGCTAATGAGAGCTGGTGACAATGAGCTGCTGGGTCTTGGCTACAGGCAGCCACTGGTTTGGGAAGCCCAGAGGAGAAAAAGAGTGAAATGATAGAAAAAAGAGAATATAAAATATATTCTTTTCCATAATGGGTGATGTTCTTGAATAGGCACAAGGAGCCCTCCCTAAGGGCTGTTTGCTGGGGCAGTTATTGACTCCTTTTATCACAGGGACATGGGAGTGCAGACCCAGTGGCCAAGCCACCCCGTGTGGTGGATGTGTTCATGTAGCAGTGGAGATCATGGTAACACCTTCAATTACTGCACAGTAAATTATGTCCCCCAGTCATTGCCATGCATTGACACACTAGCACATTTAATGCTTTAGCATCTCTTGGGCCAGCCTGAAGGCTCACCTCTCCCTGTTTCTCAGCTCCAGCAGTGCTCATGGTAGATGCTGAAGGGGAAAACACAAATACAAGTGCCTTTTTCCCTAAAATCCTCTCCCCATATCCAGAAGTTTGCACCGCAGTGATTTTTGGTGTTAGGGCACATATCATTGGACTACTATCCCTTGGCAGAGTTTTCCTCCATAGGTTTTCCAATCACTTTGGAGAATGAGTATTGACAATAGCCAGCACTTAGCTTTAAACAAATATGTGATAAGCACATGGGAAATACTGCTAAAACGGAAGACGCAAGCACGTGCTGCTTTAACCTGACACTGGACCCCAGCAGCTGATCAAAGTATTTCAGCAGCTTTATATTAGTGCTCTGCCTGGGGGCATCTGAGCAGTTAGAGGAGGCTTGAGAGAGACAGGAGGAAGGTGTTTGTTACAAGGGGCTGCCTGGGACAAGAAGAGGCCCAGAAGTCATTGCCAAATGAGCATAGGAACTTCCTAGCCACCTTCTTGGGGCTTAACTGAGCAAGGCATTGCCCCTGTTGGACTGGCCCTGGGTGGCTCAGGGGACACAGGCAGCTTATCCTTTCCTGAGCAATGACAGAGCGTTTGGATATGTATTACCACTTTGGAACTCTTTCCTTAAGTCCTATCTGCTCCTCTCCTTTCAGCCAGCTGTGTCACTGGGCATGTACAAGAGTTTGTACAAGAAGGACTATCAGTGGCGTAAGGAGTACAGGCCACCCAGTGACATACAGGTACCATGGGCTTTTCCTTGCTTGGCTCTTTAGTATCCACTAAAACACCCATGGATCATGGATACAGGACAGCTGGGGACCCAAGGGGGCAGCAGGCATGGGTCTGCTTTGATCCCCACCTCTGTGACCCACCAGCAGGTCTCATCACACCCCAATGCCCTTGGCTTGTGTCCCCATCCCTTCTGTGGGAAATCCCCCTCATGCCCTGCAGTAAAGCTCTTTGGGGCGGGTGATGCTAATTACACTCATTAAGTCAAGGCACTAACGACTGCTTGCTGAACCGGTGCCTAAGGCTTGGGCTCCTCTTGCTTCCCGTGGGGCTGATGGAGCGCATCAGGATTAGACCCATCCCGGTACCGCCTTGAGGAGAGGGATCGCATGTGGGATGGAGATGGCTCCTTGCCCTGCCACGGGCCTGAGAAGGCTTCTGCAGGGGAGCTGTGGGCTGTGTTTGAATCCCCTTGCAGTGCGAGCAAGCCCCTGAGCTATTTAATCTGATTTGCCTCGCTCTGCCTGCCCTGGTCTAATTGTTCGTGGCAGCCCAAAGGGGACTGCTGTGGTGTGCACCAGGGCCACTGCGGGGAAGTGGCAGGGGGCATGTTGGGTTGATGGAGTGCTTTGGGCTCAGGAGAGAGGGAAAACAGAAGGTTCAGGCTGGGGAGGAAAAGGGGGGGGACAGCAACAGAGAATTCATTGTGTGAAGGTGCCCGCTGGGGCAGACCCTGTGAGGATGCTCCTTGCTGGGGCCAGCAGTCTGGCAGAGCTCACAGCAAGAAAGTCTCTTTTGGAGCCCCTAGAAAGGAGCAGCTGGCTCATGAGAGAGCTGGAGTGTGCAGCTGGTGAGGCTGGAGCCAAGCAGGCACCCCAGAGCAGCCATGCCAGCAGCCCTTCCCTGACATGAACCCTTGGAGCAGTCAAACCCACCATCAAAGCTCCCTCCTTCTTTCCTTCTGTCCTCCTGAGTCCCAAGCCATAAGGTGGGCACAAAGAGGAAGCTGTGATGGTCCCTGCATTCTTAATAACAGTTAAGGAGCTGCTTTGTGACTGCTGTATCCCCAGTGGAGCTGACCTGACCAAAGCCCAGGGCAGGTAGCATTGCCTAATGATGCTTTAGCAACTGTCCTTCCCCCTCGCTGCCCCTCCATTCACACGGGTCTTTGTTCTGCAGAAGCTGCAGGTTACGGATGCCCAGCTAAAAGCCAAGGAGTTTGCTGTACCCCAGGAGAGGCCAGTGATACCCTACAGTGACAGCGTTGTCAGGCAGAGGAGGGAAGTCATCCCAGCACTGAGCATCGAAGCCATCAGTCATGCTGGTAGTGCAGGAGAGAGGATGCCAGACAGCAGCAGAGCCTTGCAACAGGGAAAGCACCTTGCTTCCCTCCTTCCTGCTGCAGAAAGCTACCTACCAAAGCACTACCCTGCCTCCCAGCTGGCAGAGAAGGCAGAGAGGCTGCAGGCTCTCAGTGAGATGGAGAATGAGCGGCCTTGTTGCCAGCATCTTCCAGTGGCTGCTCAGGCTGCTGGGACAGCAGGTAAACCCCACACCAGCTCCTCACCATGAACATATCCAGCTACCCCAGGTGATGTCTCCCGGGTCTTTGCTAGCTGAGCCCCCCTGTCCATGGTCCATGCTGTCTGGACACACACAATGGCAGCATCCTGATGGAGTGTTGGTACTGGGTTAACTCTGATGAGGATTAGCAGCATGGCAGAGCACCCTGTCACCATGAACATGCAGCTCCTAGCACAGCTCTAAGTGCAGGTGTAGTGAGTGGAGTCTTAGAAACATCTACAGAGCCATGCTTGGTGTTTGAAGAGCCCTACTAGCAAGGCACTGGCATGGCAAAGTCTCCTAGAGTCTTATCTTCACTGCTCCTTTGGGACGGAGGGAGATGTGGTTAACCCCGTGTTGCAGGTCATGAACAGAAGGGCAGGGAGGCAAAAGGACTCCATGGTTGAGCACAAGGGACTTGGGTGGCTCAGAGCAGCAGCAGCTCTTAGTGCCCTTCTGCTAGGGATACCAGATAGGCAGCAAATGCAGCAAAGGGGTTGGTAGCCAGCCCTCAGCCATGCCATTTAACAGCTTGCTTACATGGATTACAATGCTGCTGGAAGTCAGGAAAGCAAAAGTAGTTGTCACCAAACCTCACCCAGCCATGCTCAACCTTCCCAAAGCAACAGAGGTGTTCCTCTAAGCTCCCCTGGGAGAGGGAAGGGGATAGTATTGCTCCAGAATCAAACAGGAGGACACAAGCAGGGATGTCCTCTCTGCCCCCTGAGCTCAGCATGGGATGGCTGTGTCTGGATCCTTTCATGATCAGAGGGGAGAAAAGATACAGCCATCTTCTGTAGCTTAAATGCTACCTCGAAGATGAGGTGAAGTAAGCCCTCTCTCCACTCACTAGAAGGAGAGTCTGGACAAGCAGCTCAGATGGACATGTCTCCATTTGGAGAGTCCATTTAGACTCCTCTTAACACCTGAGGGCTTCAAGCATCTCCTTACCAAGCCCCTCTGATGCTGCCTTGTTCTAATGACAAAACTACAGTGGGCTTTCCCCTTACTGCTCTGTCCGTGTGTAATCCAGCAGAATTACCCTCAAACTCTTTCCCTTTCATACACGAACCTCCTGCAGAGGGTATCAGCTCCTTTTAGCCTCCAGGGCAACACTGAGACAGCATGGCTCCTTCCACTTGCTTGCTATCACCATAAATCATAGAATCATAGAATTATAGAATGGTTTGAGTTGGAAAGGACCTTAAGATCATCCAGTTCCAACCCCCCTGCCATGGGCAGGGACACCTCGCTCTAAACCATATCACCCAAGGCTCTGTCCAACCCAGCCTTGAGCACTGCCAGGGATGGAGCATTCACAACTTCCCTGGGCAGCCCATTCCAGTGCCTCACCACCCTCACAGGAATTTCCTCCTTATATCCAATCTAAACTTCCCCTGTTTAAGTTTTAACCCATTACCCCATGTCCTATCACTACAGTCCCTAATGAAGAGTCCATCCCCAGCATCCCTACAGGCCCCCTTCAGATACTGGAAGGCTGCTATGAGGTCTCCACGCAGCCTTCTCTTCTCCAGGCTGAACAGCCCCAACTTTCTCAGCCTGTCTTCATACAGGAGGTGCTCCAGTCCCCTGATCATCCTCTGGACTTGTTCCAACAGATCCATGTCCTTTTTATGTTGAGGACACCAGAACTGCACACAATACTCCAGGTGAGGTCTCACGAGAGCAGAGTAAAGGGGCAGGATCACCTCCTTTGACCTGCTGGTCACGGTTGGCTTTCTGGGCTGCAAGTGCACACTGAAGCTGGCTCATGTTCATTTTCTCATCGACCAGCACCCCCAAGTCCTTCTCCACAGGGCTGCTCTGAATCTCTTCTCTGCCCAGCCTGTAGCTGTGCCTGGAAATCCTGTGCAAGTAGGAAATCCTTTTCCTACTGGCCTCTTGACCCAAATCGATGCACAACTGATGTACCTCAGGAAAGCTCTGCTGAAGTGAGTGAATCTGCCCTGATTTCTGCCACCTGAGGCTCCAACTTGCCATTGTTGTTCTTTTGTTCCCACCCAAGGGTATGTTTCGGGTAATTGATGGTGTTTCCTGACTAATGCACCCTCTTGTTCTCAGGGATGCAGCTGCCCAGGCAGAAGCTGGTCCCGGCCTGGGCCACCTACCAGCAGTTCATCAGGGAGACCAGCCGGGACAGCCAGAATAAAGGTCTGCAAATCAAGCTCAGGAATGTGGGCTCCTCTGTTCTGGCTGGAGGTCAGTGGATGGAGGTTGTGGCAGCTGCCCCATGAGGGTGACCTGTGGCCTTCAGCCTCGCTTTGGGGGTCTTAATTTAACGCAGGAAGAGACTAAGGAAGAAGGGAAGGTGAATGACACTGGAAGGGTCCACAGAGCCCCTGTAGCTGTCTGTCTATTAGCAGGGAGATGAAGGGCAGAGATGAGGTTGGAGTATTGTGAGTAGCATTTCTTTCATCCCAGTTTCCATATGAGCCACCCCATGCAGCACAGCCCTGCTCAATGTGGTAGCAAATCATAGAATCATAGAATGGTTTGGGTTGGAAGGGGTCTACAAAGGTCATCTAGTCCATCCCCCCTGCAATGAGGTGCTGCTGCGACCACTTGGGTTGCATGAACAGCCTGATGTGGTCATACACGTGTGAAATAAATACCTGAAATCTCAGCCTCAGTGAAAACAACAAAGGTACTTCACTAATGACTCATTATGGGAATGTGTCCTTTTAAAATGCACAGAAAACCTGAAGCATCTACAATTGGTTGTTCTGTGTCTGTGTCCCTGGCTTCTTTGTTGTGAGAGGTGGCAGCATGTTTGTCAACACGTTTCTCTGCTCAGTCAGAAGGACACACGTGTATATATATATATATATATGGGGCATCTCTGGAGAGCAGGATAGAGACAGCATCACTTCAAACCAGCTACTACTGGGGAAAGATAGCACAATAGATGTTATGGTCCTCACATGGGGGTTAAGTGGATCTTGTATCTCTTCCAGAGAGAGACATGTTGCTCTGACATGATGAAAGAGAAGCTGTAGACAATAGGGAAAAAAATGTACTGGCTGACAAGTCAATGTCCAGAAGGGAAGAGCACAGGATATTGTTGACAGATCTGCCTAGTGTGACTTCCATCATGCATAAAAGGCTGTAGAAAAGAAGGGCTGAATCATAGAATGGTTTGAGTTGGAAGGGGCCTTAAAGCTCATCCAGTTCCAAGCCCCTGCCATGGGCAGGGACCCCTTCCACTAGAGGAGCTTGCTGTAAGCCCCTGTGTCCAACCTGCCCTTGAACACTGCCAGGGATGGGGCAGCCACAGCTTCTCTGGGCACCCTGTGCCAGCGCCTCAGCACCCTCACAGGGAAGAGCTTCTGCCTAAGAGCTCACCTCAGTCTCCCCTCGGGCAGGTTCAAGCCATTCCTCTTGGCCTGTTCCTACAGGCCCTTGTCCAAAGCCCCTCTCCAGCTTTCTTGTAGCCCCCTTTTAGGTACTGGAAGGAAGCTTTTATGTGTCCCTGGAGCCTTCTCCAGGCTGGACAAGCCCAGCTCTCATCTGAAATATCATCTAAAAGACCTTATCAACGCCAGGGAAGCGCTTCTTGCACATCTACCTTGGCCAACCCTTTGATCGTGGTTGCTCCCACATCGAGCTCCGAAAGCATAAGCAGCAATGGAGCTTGGAAGAAGAGGGAACACTGAGGCTCTGTGGTGCAGGAGTTAGAGATCCAGCAAAGTCAGTTACTTGGACTCTCTTTCACCAGACTGCTCTGACCATGACTGGAGAACTACCTACAACATAGATTTCAAGCGCAGGCCAGCCTATGTTGGACACTGTAAAGGACATACGAATCTTTCCCACATTTTCCTCAAAGATGTGCTCCACAAGTAAGTGAGAGGTGGGTGAGGAGGGGAAGGGAGGTTGGAGGGAGTAGAGAGAGGGTAAGAGCAGGCCAGGGGGTGTTTGGAGCTGGGTAGGGTTGGAAGGTGTTTCTGAAGCATGTTTCTCTGTGTCCATGTTATGCAATGAGCTCAAACAGTTTCCCTCAGGGCCAAACCCTTTCTCCAAGCCTGCTCAGCCTCTTCGTGAGCAGTTTTGTTGGCGGTGTTGATCGGAGTGAGGAGACCTCTCCTGAACAGCCCCATCCCCATGCAAAGAAGATGCTGAGGTCCCTGTGGGGCTGGGAACGGGAGGCACGTCCCAACATTTCCACACCCGGGCTTCCCCTGGGAAAGGGCTCTCTCGGATCAGACAGGGCAGGAGCTGTTTGCGATGTGACTCACCCGCGCACTATGAACAAACAGGCATCAACTGCTCCTGAGCTCCCGTTTCTCAGCGGAAAGGCAATTCCTCCCTGCTGCCTCATCCCCCTCACGCACAGGTTTCAGCTCCGCACTCAAGTCTCGATTTAATCTATGGTCCTGGGGTTATGTGTGGGTTGGAGCCCAGCCTGGGTAATGGCTGATCTAGGTGGGAGATTGGTCCCAATGAGAGCCATGTGTGTCTCAGCGTCTGCATGATGGAGACAGGCTGGTCTTCCTCTCCCCTTTGTGCTCTACACTGGCTGGGTGACAACTCCTGTGAAAGGGGAGGCAGGTCCCCTCTTCTGGTGCATGGAGAGGATGCAGGCCGCCTTCTTATCCCCTTCTCCATGTTCTCTGTAGGAACCACTGGATGTCCGAGTACAATGATGCCTATAGCATTTTCTTGCGGAGGCTGAGATGGTCATCTGAGACCCCTGCTATGGGCCTGTGCTCTGGGAAAGGGATGGAGATGGACGCAGCCCAGTGACTGGTGCTGCAGGTGACCATGGTAAGCACCGGAATTACCCATTTTGTACTGGGAGTAGTGGATTTTAGGGACTGAGGTGGGAAGAAGTATAAAGAGTTTGAGACCTGGCAGTGTTCAAGGCCAGGTTGGACAGAGCCTTGGGTAATGTGGTCTAGTGTGAGGTGTCCCTGCCCGTGGCAGGGGTTGGAACTGGATGATTTTAAGGTCCTCTCCCACCCAAACCATTCTGTGATTCCATGATTTTGGGGCTCCTAGAAAGTGATTTTCCAACCAGATCTGATCAGCAGAATTCTTTTTACCATGAGAGTGATCAAACAATGGAGACCAGAGAGGTGATGGAATGGCAGGGGGATGTTCACAAGGCGATGAGACAAGGACTGAGCAACCTCATCCAAGCTGGCCTTGCTGGGCCAGGACACCTTCATTAGCCCATGATTTTCAATGTATTTTGTGTTAGCTATGCTATCCCATGGTTTTCTCACTTATTTTAAGATGTGTTACCTATGCTGTTCTGTGATTACAGCTCCTTGTGCCACAAAGCTGTCACCGTAATACTGTCCATCAGAGATCCTGAAAGCCTGAAAACCTCCTCTCTTTCTTGCAAACCCACCACTGTGTCTATCAAATGTGAAATGTTTGTCAGAGGCCTTTTGAAACACATATTATTAAAAACTCCTCAGAACCCCAGCTTTTCTCATTGTCAGAAAAGGCTTTTTTGGGGGGAGGAAGGGGTTACAGTGCAGGCTATGGGGCTCAAATTGCTCAGGCAGATTCAATTTATGTAGAAAGAATTATATTGAAAGAAAACTTGCCAATAAACTAAACAAAGCAAGAAATAATGTGTGTAAAACAGCATTGCTTGTGTTAATTTACTCCCTAGAGCCTTGTATATTCACAGGGAGGGGAATACCTGTGTTATCCGAGCACCAGCCTTGCACAGTTCCTTCCTCTCCTTTGTGTCTAACGCCACTGCGCAGGGTTTGGCCACCAATATCAGCTAATGCTGGGTAAGCTGGAATTGAGCTCGATCTTTGGGAGACTTCAAGGATTTATGGAAGGAGCAAGGCTGCTCCCAGCCTGAAGATGGCAATGCAGAGCTAAGATCCGAGAGCTGATGTCCCATTGCTGCCTTTCTGCTGAGCCCTTTAGTGATCCGACTCAGGGTCTTCTGTATTGATGCTAAAATTAGCCTGGAGTAGAGGGTTTAGAGAGCCCTCTCACTAGCATCTAGAAGGTGTTGCTTTTAATACCTTTAAACATCCTTGACAGTATTCAGAGACATCATTGCAGTATCCAGGGATAAACAAGAGATTATTAACAGCTACAGCCAAGATACCAAAAGATAATAATAATGACAATGAATAACTTATTTTACAGTAATATCTTATACTAGATATAAGAATATATCTTAATTAGATATATTAGATTACTTAGAGCCAAGGGGTGACGGGGCTATGTATACACATTAGCACACTGGTCCCTGAGGAGTATATCGTCAAAGCCAATCACCTCTCCTGCTTCCTTTTACTCATGGAACACCCTATACTGATGGATGTTTCAACCCTTTACCACTTGCCCATAGCAAATGTCACCATTAACTTGCTGCAGGACCTTAGGAAAGTCACATTAATGGCTGTGTTTCCCTGCAGGAAGAGAAGCAATGATAGATTTAGCAAAATGATGCCTGGCAAGGCCATGCTCCAACCAGATGATACAGGGAGGTACAAGGATCCGGTGTTTCTGTGGAGCTGCTCCCTCTTCCCATCCTGGCATGGGACATTTCTGATGGCAGCTCATGCAGCCTTTGGGTGGCACAGGGTATTTATAGCTAAGTATAGTGGTCTAATGGCTGCAGAATTCAGAGGGCAGAAGCAACGAAACCGCCTTTAACTTAATAGCAGGGAGAAAAGCTTATCTGCATCAGAGGCTCCTGAGTAGACAAAGAGTTTGATTTCTTTGGGGAATGCGACCATGAGAATAGAGGTGTTCCTAATGGGACATTTTGTACCACTTAAAGTTAATCCCGTGGCCTCACTGGTAGTTTTCTCTTATGAAAATACATCATTATCCTGCATCCCTGTGCTGGAGACAGGCTCCTCAAGCTGAATTTGACATTGCTTAGCTACAACGGTTTGTTACACACTGACAGGGGCTGTGTCTGGATGAACGCTTAGGGCACGTACATAAGGTAATTTCAAGCCACCTTCACTAGGATAAAGCACGTTGCTAAATGCTAATCAAAATGGGCAGCCACGGTGGAAACAAATGACTGAATCAGAATGCATGGTTGTGATACACCCCGTCAGGCACACTAATGAGGATATTGAATCAGGCAGATGGATGCTGGATTTGCTAACGTGGTCCTTAACGGTGTGCTAGGGAGAAGGGGAAGCTGCTGCTATTGAAGGTAAATGTTCTTCCTCAATATTCTGCTTATTTAGGCATTTCCCAGCTTTGGGGACCAGGTTTAGAGATGGGGCTTTGGAAACCTGCACTCACACCTTTCAGCCCCTGCTCCCAGGATCCAACCTGTTGCATCCCCATCTCCTGCCATTTATCTTCCCACAGTTATATCTATTAGACCTTTCCTTCTCCAGCCTTCATTGCCTCTTCCCAGTATATGAATCAGATATTATATTATAATAATACTATATCAATCAGATATTCCCAATC